ATGCATTCTCTAAAAGTCAAAAGAGAAACTTTTAGAAGAAAGACTGTTGCAAATTGAGCCCTGAAACAGGTTTACCTCATAATAGAAACAGTAAGCCTTTTATATCTAATTACAACAACCTTCTTTCTAGAGACATTTACTGTAGTCTTGATTCGCATCATTGTGTATATGAGTCTCGTAAGCTGAGGTAATTCAACGGAGACATCAAAATAAACAGTGGAAAATTGAAATAGTCAAATAGACAGTTGCATTATATGCATGAGGCATATTATTAGGAGAAATAGAAGCATACAAAAGCCTTAATCTAGTCTCATTTGTTTTGCTTATATTTTGCATGTTCTTCTGAGAACTGTCAGTGAAGCAATTCTTTGTTTTGTTTTTATGCACAGGCTAGTGATTCAGATAATTGTACACAATAAAATTTCACATACAGAGTAAAATACAAACAAACAGTCAGGGTTGGTTTTTTTTTTTTTATTAATGTTACTATGGTCCCTTTATGTGTCAAAGTTCACATACACTCATTGTTGTCATAAATATATCGCAGTGTTTTTATCACCATTACATACTTATTATAATACTTTTGAAATATTCTCTTATCTAGCAATATGATCATACAACGAAATAACTAAGACATTTTAACAACAAGCAATTGTAGCAAAACTTTGGATGCATAGATGGTTTAAGGTATAGTCAGAAAGAAATTGCTTAAGTTTAGCAAATCTCTATGAAAAACATGATTAAATGTGTGACAAAAACCAAATTCAACATTCCAGGAAAAGAACCTCATGCTAACTGTGAGGCATAGTGTCAACTGTGGGATTGTTCTGGCTGCAGCAGCGCCTGGTCAGCTCAGGATCATAAAATCCACCATAAGCTTTACTGTGTGTTATAGAGTACCTGGAAAAAAGTGTTTGAAAAAAATAAAGTGTAGGACGAATTAAACCCTGCGACCTAACAGCTGCAAAAAACACTAGTAAATCCACCTTGGACAGACTGAGAATTGTAAAATGGGAAGTCCATGGCATGAGGAAAACTGGACCTTGGTCTTTTAACAATGCTATGGGGTGACTTGAAACAGCATCTGCAGACAAGCAACACCCCAAACATCTGTCTGAATGTGATGAGGAAGGGGAGCTACCTATGAGGCATGTTAGATTTTGCAAGGTGGCCATAAGAATCACTACATGACATTTTTTTTTAGGTTACCCCCACCCCTGCATCAGCTATTAAATGTTAGGATTTCCTAACTTTTTAATGAGCTATAGAAAAAAAATCTCTTTTTTTTGTTTTGTTTATTTAAGTGCACAAAGTACACTTAAGTTTCTGTTGAAAATATCAACCTATAAAAACTATTAAAAATGCTTTCTATTTTATCACCTGTATCAAAGTGTTTTCTTTGCTGGCCTGATGTGATATTCTAAATGTAAGATTTTTTAATACCATTACTTGGATCATAAAATTAACAGGAAAGTTTTTTATTTGCTGTGTAATTAATATATATGAGATCTAGTGAATTTAGATTCTTAAATATAGGAATGTTTCAGTCATATTCTGATAGAGTGAAAATGACTCGCCTGGATTAAATATGTTGATGTGTCTTCTTAAATAGTTTAATATCTACGGTAATATTTAAGTCTCCCCTAGACAAAATAGGTCTACATAAAGCAATTAAATTGCATTGTTATTTGTTGTATGATATGTGGTGATATTATTTTTCTGTCCTGAGTAGAGTCAAATATTAACACTTAGAGAAGAGAAAAAAAATGTGCTCGTCTATGGCTCGTAAAAAATCCATAACAGTGTTTATCCTTAGCTTCCTATTAAGAGCATACAACTTACATATAAATCCAGATAGATAAACGTTGATGAGGGGAAGGCAAAATGTGTTACCAACAAAACAAAAGATAGTTCTGCTCTGAGGCAAAACATTCCCGTTTTGTTTGATAGACATGAAGCAGTTCATCATTATGTTCATTATGTTATGAACAATGATTTGTAATATTAACTTTTAAATATCAGCTTTCGGAAGTCAATAATTAGGCATCTAATCTAAACTTGTTTGTGTTCTTAGTCTTACATGTAATACAGAGAAAGACACATTCCAAACGCCAGATGGGCTGTCTCCTCCCAAAAGGTCTCTTTTTTCATTTTTTTTTATCCCTGCTTAATCTATGCAGGATCTTTGGAGCAAGTGCATATCTGCAGCAAGAAGCATGGGGTCACACAGAGAGAAGATCGTAGCGAAGGCCAAGAACCTGTCAGACGAACTTTATGCAGCATAGATGCTTTCTGACTTATCCTGGAGATGGAGAGTCTGGGATTCCCTGCTGTTATTTAAAGACCAGACTTTGCGTCTATGGTTCCTCCAGTTTTTTTTACCCCAGAAGTAGTCCACAGTACTAACATCTTTTTCTTAAATGACTGAGTCTTCGATTGAGCTAAACTCAACTCTTTATTTTGAGCCGAGCAAAGAACGAGTTTAGATAAGTTTTTAGCTTACATCAGTGAAGATGATTACCTTTATCGCAACAAAAGTGATGTCTCCTTCAATTTATGAGGGAGAGTAAATAGACCACATAGAACTTATACATAATTACATTATATTCAAAGAAAAAATTAAGATTTTAGGAGAAGCATATGTGTCTAGATGATTAAAAAGATGATCCCTAACACTACTGAAGCTAATACCCCCATGAACTGATCTTGGATAAGCAGAAGAGTATTTTTAGATCTTGGTCTTGTGAGACTATTTGTTTACTTTGTTGTGTGGGAAATCTGAATCTGAAAAAATATCAAGGTTTTAGTTTTAACATTTATTACACACTTCATTTTTCAATTGAGCTAACATTTCTATTTTAATAATAAATATTATTCTATGCCTACAGTATGAGAGTAATAGAGCTCACTTTCAAGTTTCAATGTCATTTGACTTTTTTAAATATTTTTTTTATCAGTATTCATTTTTTTTTAACTAGGTGTTGAAGTTGTATTCTTCCCGTTCCATCCTAGAGATAAAGGTCTTCCACTTCAACTTTATCATGAATTAACAGGTGAAATGGTTCAAGTCACTGTTTGAAAAAATGCTTTTGTTCTATTTCCCATAATCCAACTTCAGACCAAAACAGATATAAACCTAAATCTAAGCCCACTCTATTTTTGTGATGTCAAGAGTTTAGTGTTTTGAAATGTACCCAGTAGTTCCTCATAATGCAAAACATATTCCAAGCTCAAAGCAGCTCAGAAGCTTTTATTCATCGCTTGCCATAAAGAGCGAAGTTGAAAGGGGCTTCTTTTCTTTTCATTTCATGTCAGCAGAGTAACTTAATATGAACATATAGTCAGTCTTATCTTTAATGCACAGAAAGCAGCATAAAAGAAGCCATGGAAATGATGCAGTCCAACTTCTGACAGCTCACTAATTAAAACAAACCAGGTTTAACTACTTAATAACCGCTGACCAATAACTGTTCACTATACTCAGAGACACATGAATAAGAACTTCAAATGGTTTCATTTGAAACAACAAAGAACTAAATTAATATTCACAGCACCTTTATTCTCCATTGCAGGACCCTTAATGCACAAATTTATGTTTGTAATCTAACTGAATGTGCAATGGAGTCAATTTAAAAGAATGTGTTTCACATAGTAAAAATATGCAATTTGGTATTAATGGAGTAATACTGTGTGGTAATCACTCATCAACCTCAGGTTTTTGTCACTTCATGCCCTGCTAAGGATACCGAGTGACTTTACAACAATTTCCTCCTCATTTGCTGCTAAATCACAGCATTGTTAAATATACCTGGGATTAATTTCATGCTGGATTGTTTTTAGGTCATGGATGATCCTGATAACAAAATCTACCTTTTGTTCAATGAGATTGTACTCCAGGCGACTGGCATCCACAAAGGCCTGCAGCGTTTCATATTCAGTCGGTTTGTACCTGGAGCTGCCAGGACTGTTTTCCATCCGCAGTGTCAGTTTTTCTGCATGAATAAAAGCAAATGAAATGGTTGAATTGGAATACTTGAAACACTCCACTCTTTGCTTTATGTCTGAAGGGAAACTTTAATGCCGACTTCAACTGAGAAGATAATATAGAGGCAGGCTGAGGGACTGAGAAACCATATGGATATTTTAGACATTACCGCACAGTGGGGTTAGCAGACAGTAACCTCATACCGTCAGACATATTTTTTCTAAGTGCTTCACTTGCAACTTGGGAAGAAAGGCAAAGGAAGAGAAAAAACATAGCCTCTGACAAAAACGTCTTAAATATGGCAGCACCTGGGGCTTTCGACAGGTTTAGTGAGAAAGAGACGTACAGCAGTTCAGTAGGCCACTTTGTCGGAAGTCAGTAACACATCAGACCCTCTTCTTATTAACTCACCAGCATCTTCTGCCCTGTGGCTTGAGGGGAGTCTGGGTAGATTCAGAGCACTCTTGTTCTGCATCTTCTATGCAGTAGATTCCCTTTTAAAAANACCAGCATCTTCTGCCCTGTGGCTTGAGGGGAGTCTGGGTAGATTCAGAGCACTCTTGTTCTGCATCTTCTATGCAGTAGATTCCCTTTTAAAAAATAGAGTAAAGCATCATTGTTTGAAAAAAAAAAAAAAATCAGCAAAGACATTTTGCTCAGGCAATAACTTGCATTAATAAAGCAGATAAGCATTGGTTGAAAATACTAAGATAAAGTAACAGAAATAAGTCAAGACAAAAACACAGCAGTATGTGAACCAATGGTGTGGTATTGCAAAGTTCAGAGAGCAAAACATCAAAGAGGATCAACCAAATATTCTGCATTATTAGAATTTGTTTCATAAATGGAGTGAAATCTTAATAAGTTGTACTTTCATTCTGATTTTGCAAAGTTTCTATCTTAGTCAGTTGAATAACAACCTGCTGTCCTTTTGCGAATCTCTGATGTTGCTGCTATTTTCAAATATCCATTACTATGAAAATGTTCATAGCTGTATATTGGTTATTTATTCTCCAGTTGCACAGTTCTATATTGTTAAAATAGTTTACATTACAGTATTTTATTGTTAATGTTTTAACTCCTCACTATTATGTTATTGTTATACATTTTTATAAGGTCTACATATATGTGAACATTTTCTATAATCTTTTTGCTGCTTTAAACACCAGAATTTCCCGGTTGTGGGACAATAAAGGGATTTTCTATTCTATTCTACTCTATTCTATGATCCTGGCTTAATTCTGTGGGTCTACAGCACATGCATTTAGTTTGCTTTTCAAAATGAGAGATTTCTTCTCTTCAAATTTACATAAACCCAAACAATTACTGGTGAGCATAGAGGTCTAAATATATTCCTTTCACTGCAGCATTATTTAGTACAAAAAACAAAAGCAATTTGGGTGTGGTTATTCATAGAGGCATGCATCCCACATGAAAAAGAAGTGCTGCCAATAAAATTGTGTGTTTTAAAGTCATAGACTTAGACAATTTTTATAGTCATTTTGTATACACATAGTGTACACAGTAAATGAGCAGCAGCTTAGCAGTGAAATTTACTGTCTAAAGTTAAAGTCTTTGTGGTGCCATGCTGACTGGATGCATATTATTTCTTACAGATTTAAAAAAGAAATGCTTCCAGAACAGAAATGATCCTGTGCAATACTTAAGAGTGGGCATAATAAAATTATTTATCTTAGTCCTGACCAAAGCATTTAGATTAACATAGCTAAGCAAACTCCATATGTTTACATTGAGCATGGGAAGATATTCCTCCTATGCAACTAGTTGCCAAGTAAACTTCATCTATCGCTTTATGGGTGACCCAAGCTGCTCTTTGCTGCAGTTCTACAGTGAGATTTAGAAATATTTTAGCTCCCTTACCAACTTGCTTCTTGTGCAGGGAGCCAAGATAAGCATGGCCTTTCCCTCTGTCTTGTAGTCAGAGGTGAAAACAAACGTGCCGCTGTGTTGTGTCATGTTTATAATGCAAGGAAATAGGAAATGAGACATGAGTAATTAAATGTTACCCTGATCAACTTGAGCAGTAAAGTACTGTTGCCTTTTCCAGATCACATATTGCTTGATGCATGAAAAGATCAGCTGTTCTGTTCCAGTGCAAAATCTTGGATCCTTCTTTTTTTTTTCTTGGCCTGTTATTCAATTTCTTAACTCAGTAATGTTCGTGATCTGTTTAGAACGGGTCCAGTCATCTGACTTTCAGCAGTATTTGATCATCTTGACATGCCTCTTTTGGCCACCATTCAGAAGAAAGATCATAACTTTCTAAAAGGTAAACATGAAAATGTATTAAGTAACTAGTTATGCACTTAGAAGCCTGTCTAGGAATTACATTCATTTACAGCTATTATTTTCATAGACTCCTTAATCTGGGTTGATTTTATTTATGCTTATTTTTTTGTTCATCAGAAAATGTATTCTTTAGAATTAGAAGCATAAATTGAGAGTACAAAAAGAATTAGAATTTGCAAAAAGGCTTATTTGTCAGATTAAAAGTACCTTGTCAACTTGCTTTTCATTAAGCCCACATTTATGAATTAATAAATACTTCTTTAATATATATACTTTATTAATAATGAAACTACATCTTTATTTTACTTGAATCGTGTTACTGAAATAAGTGAACATTACAATTATGATATTTGTTGAAAATAAGAAAAATAAGCAAGATTCTCAATACAGTATAGTCATTGATTCTTCATATCGAAAGGAGTCATCTGAGGAGGCAACTATTGCCTAAGGAACCAGCCCAGCCACATCCCAACAAAATGAGGCCAGGGACATAACCTAGGACACCTTGAAGGCAGTGGTGACACCAGGGGGTGGCTAGGGGTGGCCACTGCCACCCTGTGCAATGCCCTGGCCACCCCACTCGCCAGTGTAAGTTGTAGTAGCATGAGTTTAGCATTTCATCCCATCATGCACAACCAGCAACATAACATTAAAAAACACACAAAAATCCAAGATATGAGTGGTGTTTACTTAAGTCTTTAGGATTTCTACAGGCATGTTTACCACAATAGTAGCTTCAAACCCTGAAATTATGGCTTTTAGTTTCAGTGTGCCACTCAAGATTAGTGGCCCCATCTGGCCACCCCTATGATACATTTCTGGAGGCGCCACTGCTTGAAGGGACTCTATCTCTTAGCCAAGCTGGGGCAACTCTGACTTCCCCAAGAGGAGCTGGAGGAGGTATCTATAGAGAAGGAATATGGGTGTTTCTGCTTACATCACCGCCAGCATTAGATGACAAGTTGAATATGAGTATAGACCAGAGGTCACAGATTAGCGGACCTCAGTCCGGATCCCGACCCACCGGCTGGCTAATCCGACCAACCTGATTTAAAACATTTATCAATTACCACTTGTTGTCCGAGGACAGTGTCTAACTGCACTTGCGCCACTTCTCCTGTTAATTTGGTAAAGCACTCCGGAATGTACGGCACCAGGCTGCAGGTGATACTAATTAGCCAATGAGCTGCGTCAGTCAGGGTCGCTGCTGCAAGCTACTTTTAGACACAGCAGTAAACCTGTGGTAAGCAGGGTGGCAGGAAAGAAGGAAAAGACGATGAGAAAAAGAAAGCAGAGCAAGTGTGGAGTGCTGGAAGAACTGCGGTGAACTTGTGACACAAAGATGACCCTGCACATTTTGAGTATGTTTGGCTCACCTTACTGCTGTTTAGCAAGATTCTCCCCCATGAACATAACCAAAAAATAAATATGGATCCAGACTCACAAATGAGCACCTTGATATGTGCTTGAGAATGGCTTTTTCGCCATTTAAGCCCAGGTTTAAAGCTTTGCAGGGCAGCCTAAAGCCCACTGCTCTCAATTAGCCATCAAAAAGAAAAATATAACAATTTCAGTTCCACTGTTTTGTAAAGTATGTGAATCAGGGAATTGTCTATATACCAAACTGGTCTATTGTTGTTCTCTACTTCAAAATAATTTTTTTATATATATATATATTTTGTATTATTTAAAAATTCAATGTATAATATACATGGATGCATAAAAACCTCCTTTTCATTTCAGTATAATATTCAGTTCAAAGTAGTAGGTTATAATTAAAAATGTCTCCGGACCTTTACTGGTTGAGGATTTTCTTTATTCGGCCCCCGCTGATTTTTAACTGGTTACCAATGGTATAACCCATGATCCCATCAACTGTGTTAATGAATGTATAGGTGACTGTGCACATTATGGAAGATAATAAGATAGTTATCACCCAGGACACAATACTGCACCAATAAAAACTTCCATCTGCAAAAAAAAATAAAAGTGAATTTTAATATCTGAGCATTTGAACTGCATGGATGATAAACGAATTAGGTTAGATTCCTACACCAGGATAAACACTATATTCAAAATCAGTAAATACTTTGACCATACCATAAAAATTAGCAAATAAGCCTCTGAATCTTGAAAATTAGAGAAACCGAATCTACTAAGTTGAATAAGTTGCCTTTAGAGCTCTTAAAAGTTCAACTCACCACCTTTTCCTCTCTTTACAGTGTATAGGTTGACAAACCGCTGTAACCACGGTAACTATCATCTGTTTTCTTATTGGTCGTTTCAAGCGTCTGAACCTCCTCCGAAATGCCCCCTCGCCTTGTCACAACCAATCAGGAGTGCGCTCCGGCTCATGCATTCCCGCTGACGTCATGCCTGCTCGCTGTGCTTGGGACCGCTGCTGGAAGCTGGGAAGGGGTTGTCTCTTCTTCCCCTCGAGTATGGACACGAGTTCCGTCCTTCCACATGCATGGGAGTAAGAAACCGGACTTTACAGATGAAGTTACGCGTCTCCACGTAGGTCTGAGCCACAGCTCATCCCGGCGCAGCAACCGTCCTCACAAGGTATGCTGATTGTTCTCTTTTTGGTCTGTTTTCTGTGGCATTGCGAAGTGCGGAGTAATTTTTTAGGAGGGGAGAGAGCATCTCTGCTGCGCGGAGAACAAGCAGGACGAAAGTGGCAACTCTGAAAGTCTTGGAGACTTTCAAAGGGGAGCGCTTTATGTGCGTGGAAAAAGACAAGATAAGCTCTTTCAAAGCGTCTTTCCAGCAGGAATCAATCCAATTCTCCGTTAATCCTCTTCTTTGGATCAGTTTCTCGCAGACAGCGCGCACCTTTCATGGAAGACTCTCCACGGTGTTTCCTCAACGTCCTTTTTTCCCCCGTTGCTGCAAAAACATAACCAAATAGTACAAAAAAAAGGGAGAAAACTGTTCTTTTGCCACTATTTAACCCACATTAAATAATGAGCATGCTCCTATAACCTTGCTTGGGGACAAAAAATAAATAAAAATCAGGTGAGTTTTAAGAGTGTGGGAATCTTTGGAATGCGAGTTTTTTCCCTCCTGCCCCCCACTAGATTGACTTCACCTTTTTAACTCCCACGTTTTACTCCCTACATCCAAACTACGCCATATTTAATTACCCTAATCTGCATTTTTTTTAAACCCAGGGGCGTTTCTTCAAGC